ACGAGATAGAACCGACGGACCAAAAACGTCGGCAAGCCGTCGGAATAGGGCTTATTCCGACGGATTTCCGACGGTTTTGGCCGTCGGAAACGGCCCTGTTTTCTTGTAGTGAGTAGTGAACAGAGATTTGGTCCCAATTGATCTGATTATCGAGATACTCTCAAGATTGCCGGCGAAATCAATCGCGAGATGTCGTTGCTTATCGAAGCTCTAGTCTTCGATACTTAGCCGCACAGATTTCGCGGAGGCCAGTTCCACGGCTCGACCAAAGCTCTTGTTCGTGTTCATAAGAGACGATGATGTCTTCTTCTTTTCGTCACCTCAACGTCAAAATCCAGATGAGAATCCGTCTCTTATAGCCCCTAATTGTCATATGCGTCGCACTTTTGAAGATAATAATCCTAGAGAGTTTTATTCAGTCCACGGTTTGATCTGTGTTAAAAAAAAAATCTGCGGATCTTAAAGGGAAAGAAAGAGATATTGCTGGTGGTATGTAACCCTAGCACTGGTCAATCGTTAACTTTACCAAGAGTGAAGATCCGATTGATAAACAATTCAAGTTGTTGTCAATGACAAGGTCAAAGCGTAGAAGAAACAAGGTATTTGAAGAGTATCAGGTCATGACATTAGGAGGAAATGGGAAACTGATATGGAGAATGATCGAGTGTAGCAAGCCGCATTATCTTTTATGTGATGGGATATTTATCAATGGTGTTTTGTATTATCGAGGTAGGGTCGAAGGGAATCATCATAGGATAGCTTGCTGTGATGTTAGGTATGAGAAGTTTATGTTTATTGAAGAAGCTAAAGCTAATATCATGGGACTAGAGTTGGTAAACTACAAGTGTAAATTAGCTACACTCATATCGGACAATCGATATCATGTTATTTGTGGAACAAGTAGAAGTTTTGAGTTGTGCGTTCTCGAAGATGTTGATAAACATGTATGGTCGACGCATACATATGTACCGCCCCCTTCCTGGAAGAATATAGTTGCAGATGTCATATTCAGGATCATTTTGGAGTCTCCAAGAGTGGTGAAATCATAAAAGTTGAAATCCAAGGAACGGATGTGTTTAAGCACAATGATTATATATTCTAAACCATGTATGTAGAGGATGTGAAGCTTCGGGGATTATTTAGGACACCATAACTTGAAACTTTGTATCAAAGTTAGTTATATATCATCTCAGGATCATGAAATATTTGCAAGTCCTTATCTAGATCCATTCCATTGTTTACACTTTAGAGTTAGCAATTGTTGTCTTCTAAGCTAAGTTTTTTTTTTACTTTGTATTCTCTTCTTTTTAGAAGCAAGCCCCATTGTAAAATCGTATCTTCATTAGTTCTATGTTAGGACTCTAACTTTATCTTTTCAGAAGATTGCCTTCTGTAAAATTGTATATTAGTATATGTGATAAATAGTTTTATATGATCATAATTGCACGTTTTGATACTTGCATTAACATGAACAAATACAAGAAAAATATGTTTACAATTTCTTTCAGAAAAATATAACAGAGTACGTAGCATATGGGCCTCAAATAGTTGATGGATCCTAGCTCTCAGCTTATTAACGTCATAATCAAATCGATCTCATAGGGTCAAGTAGCCCAACTGTTTAGAAATTAAATTAATTACTAATTAGCCTCGTCACTAATAAACACTGCATAAATATATATCGTGTCTCTTCTCTGGACATAAAGGTTTCTTTAGTCAACTATTTTGTGATTCTCAGTACAAAATAATTACTTCCGCAAAATATTTTCACATATAAATTTAGATAAACGTTTTTTTTTGGGTTCATTTGTTTTATTAAAATTGATTTCTTTGCAATTCTATTAATACTTATGATTTATGAAGGTAATATTACAAAGCTATACTTCTTAATAGTTCGGGTACAACTAAAGACGTTTCCTGGTAAAAACTACAGAAAATGGTATTTTTGCGTTTCAAACAAAATATGAACCATTGAATCTCAATAAATTTAGGGTTAATTAACTTAATATTAGTTTTGGGTAGGTATTTAGGTAACTACCATATACATAATAAAATTTAGGTATCTAGGAGAGAAAAAAAAATCTGGATAAATTTGTCCTTACAAAATTGTTTAGGGAAGTAATAAAAAACTATGATATGACAATCATTTGTTTAAGGGAAATAGTAAAAATTTCTTTAAAAAAAATCTCAACAATCTCTCTAATATTAAAAGAGAAGTCATTTAGACTAAATGTCCAAAATCTATTCAAATATTACTGAAATTGCCATTGGATTTAAACTATAGAAATTCAATTGAAATAGGTAATTTTGAAATTTTTCAATGGCAATTTCAGTAATTATCTGTACAATTTTAGACATTTTTTTAACCTGGAATCGGGTCAACACGCGGACCCTGCGCGATCCGGCTCGCTGACCCGAACTCACTAGTGGCAAAATTGTAATTTTTCTGAACTAAAAAAATCTGGGTCGCGACTTAGGGTTAG